TTAGCGCAAAACCTTCTGTCCATACCACTATCTAGCATGCTATGATTGCGCTTAGCCTGACCCGAAGCTTCATTATTTCCTGATTTCATATAAAAATGCCTATCCAGAGTCGTGCCTTCGACACCTTATTCCTCCATGCTCCAAATACACGATAATACCTGCAAAAAGACATTAAAACCATGAAACGGTACATAAATGACTCGAATGGTAATAATACGCAAAGTATACATATTTACAAACAAAGTTGGGATTTATTCAACGAATAATAATACAATAGCCGACAAGTTCCACAAATTACATGCACAAAATACTGACATTTTGGCACTTATCAACTCTCCCCAATTTGAACTTGTTTGTCCTGAAACAAATCCAAACAAACTTAAACATTCAAAAGTAATCAACAAAAGAATCATGAATTAACATGTTTTAAAAACGAAAACAAATGTATGGTTCAACAAAAATGTACACACAAATAAAACTTACCACTATACTAAAATCATACTAAACCTTCTAAAACAATACATGCTTAATCATGAATCACATCTAACAAAAATTCATCGGTAGATAAAAAATACACAAAAGTGAGGGACTTAACAAGTACCCCGAGATCACTGGTTAGTATTACCCATAATTTTATTATCTTTTAATATAAGCAATAGTTTTGTTTGTTAAAGCATACTTTAAATTAAAAATAACGTGATTAATAGATCCAGACATATAAATGTCTATAAAATATATGCAATTTTTTAACCCACCCCATGACTTTCTTACGCACCACACGAAATTCCATAAATTCCCCTCAAAATCGGAAGTATATTTCCGGTTCACACCATGTTATACATGAATTACGTTGAAAGGGTTGGACGCAAATCAGAAGTATACTTACGATTTACAATCGAAAATATACTTTCAGATTCTGGAGGAACTATATGGCGCGCTGCCTCTTCCCCTCCCATTACAGCAACCCATTCAAAACAAAACACAAAACTCTCTCAAACTCTCTTAAACCCTTATTTCATAAATAAAATATTTTGTCAAAAAATCATCAGAAATCATCAAGCAGTGGTTAAATAAAGCATTCTAACGCAATAAATCAAGAAAAATCAACACCAATCAATCATGTATGTTTTTTTAAAAATTTTGAGTTTATGTAATTTCTACTCAAATAGTGAATTAGTGTTCAAACTGTGATATTGTAGCTAGTTATCATCATTAGGAGTCATTAGAAAAATGTTTCTAAAGTTTATTTGATGATCAATGCCCTTATTTGATCTCGTTTGGAGGAATGAGACGCCAAATGAGCATTACTCTGTTATCGAAGAAGTAACCAGAATTAAATTTTTGGTTTTGGTAAGAACAAAACCGCTAGTTTCGATTTTTGTCTGTGTCTATTTTAAGCCTTGTTTTGAACACTAGACCTTATGTTAACATTTCTTTCTTACTTCTACAGGAGCAATGAGTGAGAGACCATCTCAATTGAGGCTTGGCAGGGTTGCACATCATACTTCTGTGTGGAGAGAAAGGAGTTTGGCAACCCAACCTCCTCCAGCCTCTAGATAGGCCATACTAGATGCATCTCCTACTGATTTAGCCTCCAGCGTGCTTGCTTCTACTCCTTCTATGTCGTCCTCTTGTAGCAGGTGCGATTCTCCAGATCATCCTTCGCCACCCACGTCCTCCTGCAGACGCACTTCCTCACCTAGCGTATTTGAGGTGGGATCCACATCTGGTACCCAAGCGACACCTGAGGCCTAGGGACCATTACAGTCTCAGTCCCAGATGCCATCTGAGACAGTTCCTCAGTTATCCCATGCACCTGAGGATACACCAGCGGCACCTGAGGCTACACCAGCGGCACCTGAGGTCGCACCAGCTCATCCTGCACCTGTAGCCCCTCAGGCTTTTGGAGGAGGACCGTCTAATTTATCACTTTCGCCTCTTTATCCCAACCATGTTATTAGACATATCTGGGACGGACAGGTATGAATTTTGCATTTTATTTCTATTATGAATTTTATTGTGAATTTTATTATGAATTTTGACTTGAATTTTATTATGCAGGAACGTGATACGCTCAAGGTCATTAGCCATGGGTGGAAAATCAATAGACTTGTGTCGCCTGATGAGCTATGGTTTGACGAGCTTTTATGACTTATAGGGTTAAAATATTTGGCCATGTGTGGATACAACGTGGTCAACTGGGGTATGATCAACACTTTTATTGAGAGGTGGCACCACGAGACGTTGTTGTTTCATCTACCACATGGTGAGATAATGATCACACTAGACGACATCGTATGTTTTATTCATCTACCAATCATATGGATTTTCTTGGATCATGATAGGATCACCAAAGAGGAGGCGTTGGGTTTGTTGGTTCAGAAGCTGGGAGTTACCACTGAGAGTGGCCTGAGAGAGATTGATAAGACCCGTGGTTGCCACGTTAGGTATAACTATTTGGCTAGGGTTTTCGCGAATGAGATTAGGCGTGCACGAGAGGCTCATGGTGATCCCAAGAAGGATACCATTCACAGGGGGTTTGCCATGAGGGCACACCTTTTAGATCTTGTTGGCACACATATTTTTGTGGACTCCAGTGCAACTTACACCAATATCATGTATCTGCGGTACTTTGATAATTTTAAGACAATCAGCCAGTGGAACTGGGGGACTGCTTGCTTGGTTTACTTGTATACCAAGTTGGATGACGCCATTAATTGGCATACAAAGCAGATGACCAACAGCATGTCACTCATGACGGTATAAATTCTTTATCTCTGTGGCCTTTGTTAATTATTTTGATTCCGGAACTAACTATTTAATTTTGTTATTTCAGGGATAGATCCTACATCACTTCTCCCGCGTCTCGGGTTGGTCATATGTTATAAGTTATACTGAAAATAAGTCGCGTGCTTGTGCATACAACCCGCTCCGAGGGAACCAGGCGATAGAGTCGTTTTGGGTTTACATTGATCGGCTAGTGCATGAGGAAATTCACACTTCAGTTTGTACATCGACCACCGTGTCACGATACTGTTTAACGAGGTTGCGTTGTTTACAGGTTGGCTGGCTTGCGGGATTCGCAAGACTGCTGCTTATATGCCTGAGCGGGTGATGCGTCAGTTCGGGTTTACCCAGACCATTCCTCGGGATCCTGTTGTATATGCTCCTCCTATTGTGAAACAGAGGGATATGGATGTTATATTTGATGATTTTGATAATCATCTTGTTCCTAATGAGGCCATGAGTATCGTAGCATCAAGCGACTGGGGTTACGAGTACTGATACATGATATGGTTCTTCAAAATGTCTTATCCGTACATGGTAGAGGATGCTCCAGGGAACGCACCGAGGCCAGTTCATCAGAAGATCCTAGAGGAGGACTAGGCTAGAAGGGATCATGCTCATAACGTGTTGCCTATGTGTCGTTGTATCATAGAGCTTGCGCGAGATGGTATTGACAGAGGGTTGTTTTCTGATGGATCCGATGTTAGAGGTGTTTTGGATGCCATCATGGTGGAGGCTCAGGAGACTATGTGTTACAGGAGGCCGCAGAGGGACGCCTCGAGGGTGACACACTAACTCATCATCTGTCATACTCAGTAGTTTATGCTAATGTATTTGTATTTTGGTTTTAGTTTTTTGGTATTGTATTGTATCGTATTTGTACTTGGATTATATTTTAGAGTTGTGTACGACTCTATCATATATATATATATATATATATATATATATATATATATATATATATATATATATATATATATATATATATATATATATATATATATATATATATATATATATATATACGTGTCTTTTATTCCATTTGTGATGTGTATGGCTTGTACAAGTTTTAATTTATGATGCGAAAAAATGAGAAATATATTTTCTTATAAATTTAATTTTTTTGATTTTTCTACTACTGACAGCATCAGAACCGAAAATATATTGTCAGTTTAAAATCAAAAATATACTTTTGATTTTAAGTCAAATTTTTCAAAAAAAATTCACCCTAAAAATATTTTTTCGATTTTAGAAGGATAGTATAAGAATTGTATAGGATTTAATTTTTCTACGTAAGATAAGAAATCTTCAAAATATATAGCCATCGTGTCAAAGCCCACAGGTGTCCTCACACACATCAAATTCTCCTTTTTGTCATCTATCTATTTCACTTTAGCATCAATTTTGTTTTTGTTCTTCAGTTTAACATGTCACCTAATAGCTTAACACTTTTTTTCAATTTCTAAAATTTCCCTTCTTTTAGAATACGTGGCATTCTATTAGTGACTTATCTCAATTTTCCAGCCCCTTGATTGGTACTGAATTTTTCTTAATGATATGAATTTCTGTAAACTGCATTCACAATTCATAAAGATGGAACCAATATTACCCATATATAAATACTTTTCAATTTCGAATTAATACGAAAATTTATTTATATTTAATGATCTAGCTTAGAAATAATGTCATTTTTTTAAAGGATAATAGTAACTTATGTCATATGTCACAAGTTATGGATGAAAGATAAAAAATTTGTTTTAAAAATTGTGCTAATTTTATTAAAAATTTATAATGAATTTTTTGTTTTTTTTTCGTACAAACTTTTTATTTGTGGCTTTTTTAATACTTGTCTTTAAAACATAAATTAACATGACTTTTTATACTTATAAGGTTGAATCAACAAAAGTCTAAAAATCATCATTACATAATTTTATCATTAGTTATTAAAAATTGTGATATTATAGTGTTACTTGCACACCCTTTTGTTAATATTAATTTCAATAAACAATGTTACCTTAAACAGTGAAAAGGAAGAGAAAAAGATCATAGGAAATGACATTTGATTGAGTGATAGAATCAAGTTGAAGGCAACCCTACAAGTATAAATATGCATCAATCACAAACCCAAAAAGCATTGCCACATAAATTGGAGCACAACAAAAAGTTTATTCAAAAACACATACACAAAGTTTGAAACCATTATCAAATTCTGCATGTATTGGGGTGGAGTCATGGCTGGCCAAATTGGTCAAAGTATCATGGAGGAAGATGTATGGAGAAAAGGACCTTGGACTGCTGAAGAAGATAGGTTGTTAATTGAGTATGTTAGGCTGCATGGTGAAGGCAGATGGAACTCTGTTGCTCGACTTACAGGTAATTAATAACAAGCTCTTTAGTTGTTAAGAGTCTCACATCGGATAATATATAGCCTGAACATGTGTTGGGTGTGAGGGGTGTGTTAAGAGTCTCACATCGGACAATATATGGCCTGAACATGTGTTTATAAGTGGGGACAATCCTCACCCTACAAGCCGGTTTTGTAGGGTTGAATTAGGCCCAACCACATCTTAATATGATTGTCAATGTTTGAAATCGACACCAATTTATATATTTTTTAAATTATTATAGGTTTGACGTTAAAGTGTCTATCGTATTTTTGGTGTTCGGAATTTATAGATATCAAGTATAATTGTTTCAATTTGTATTATACAATTATGATCAATTTATTTTATCTTGTATTAAATTTTTTTGTTGTTAATAGGATTGAAAAGGAATGGAAAGAGTTGCAGATTGAGATGGGTGAATTATCTTAGACCAGATCTTAAAAGGGGTCAAATAACACCACAAGAAGAGAACATAATTCTAGAGCTGCATGCTAGGTGGGGAAACAGGTAAATTTTGTATTTCTTCTATTTTTTAGAACAACTCCGTAACACAACATTTCTGAACAAAGATGTGTCTGATGTCTGATTCGTGTTGTATCAAACATTGATACGAACTCTGATATATGTGAATAAATTATGGATGTTATCGTGTTAGTGTCAGTACTAAATAGATTGAAAACAAGTTATTGAACTAAGAACTTAGACGATTGAATGAAAAAATTTCAGGTGGTCAACAATTGCAAGAAGCTTACCAGGAAGAACAGACAATGAGATAAAGAATTATTGGAGGACTCATTTCAAGAAAAAGGCAAAGAATCCATGGGATGCATCCGAAAAGGCGAAAAACCGAATCATGAGGAAACAATTATTTCATCAGCAACAACAACTGTTAAATCAGCAGCAGCAGCAACTTCAATTCAACTTGGACATGAAAGGTCTCATGTCCAAGTTTGAAGATAATAATAATAATAATAACTATAGATTTCCTTATATATCTCAAACTAGACAAGAAATGTTCAACCACATGTGTCCAAACACAACAGAAGAACAAGGAAACTTTATGCTGAATGGAAATTATTCTGTACCAGATAATTTGTGGGATGGTCTGTGGAATTTGGATGATGATGTTCATGGAAATTTCAGTAACAAAACAGGTTTATATAATTTAGTTGCTCCTTATTGTTAGTGTTATTTGGTTGAGGAAATTTATAATTAAGAGTTACTCTTAATTTTAGTTTAAGTTATAGTTTGATATAAGGCTCCAAAAACCATGAGCTTTGGATTTGTTGCATAAGGTGTGTAGTTGAGTTAGTTGTCAATAAAGTGTCTCAATTTTGCTTCTAAAACTTATGAGTTTTTTTATTTATTTTAATTTTATATTATTTATTGTTTGTTATTATTTTTTCAGTTCTAAAATAAATATTGAATTAGACATTTTCACATTAATTAAGAAATGGTAATAAATAAAAGAAAAAAGAATAGTAATTTTAATAAATTATTTTTATTAAGTATTAAGATATTTTAATATTATAAATATATATAAAAAATAATTTAAGAATGGAGTGCATAATATTTATAATATTTATTAGAGAATACAATTAAAAATCATTAAAATTATATTAAAAATTAAAAATGTCACTCTTTTAATACAATTCAACTGTTGTAAATTGGACTTTATTATAGAAGTGATAGATTAGTATTCCGTCCGTCTCAAAATAAATATCATATTTAAAAAAATTATTTATTTTAAAATATTTAAGTTATTAATACAATTTTAATTTTTATCTTTCAATTATACCATCTAATTAGTATCTTAATTTATTATTTTATTACTTTGTATTAATACTAATTTAAATATAATGATAATTAATAAGGATAGTTTCGTAAAATCATCATTCTCTTTCATTTATTATATTTTTTAATTTGTGTGAAAGTAACCAATATGACATTTATTTTGGGAGAGAAGAAATATTATTTTGATATAAAAATAATTAATTTCTAATTTTACTAAAAAGGTTGTAAAATATGTAAGCAGCAGAAATTGAATTCTAATTTTCTTCTTAATACTTCTTAAATATTTTAAATATTTCTTTGGTTTTAAAAATTGTGCTCTAATAATATGATAAAATTATTTTAAAAATATTATATGTTTTGATATGCCAATCTACGGCATCAATTTTTTGATTATGCAGAATAAAATTGTTTTTAGATAAGAACGTTTGTCAATTATTATTAGATGTCGTTGATTATTAGCCTGATGTTGAAGAAGGGGTGGTAAATGAGCATATCTGTCTCGTTTAGTCTGTCCTATTTAGTCTCGCTCCACAAAAACGGAACGGAGCAGAGAACACATTGTGTAAGGTGCGAGCTTAGAACCTTGAATCACCTTGCAATAACATGAGGGTGGAGAGGGTCCGCTGACACTGCACCTTTTTTAGCTTAAAAATTACAAAAACTTATGTTAAAGTTCATGCCAGCCAAAACTACCAAAAAGTAGGGCGAGACGGGGCGATCATATTACAGGGTGCATGCCTAAAATCTCAATCTTTTCACAAAAAAGTGCTGACAAAATGAACATGTTCAACGGGTCAGGCCCATTTTCCACCATATGTAGAAGTGAGTTCATGTTCATCCTTCAGATTTTAATTTTTCCTTGTTAGACTTAGAGCGACACATGCTCATTTATCTTAATATTTAAGAGTATGTTGGGTGATCAGCCACCCTCCTTTGTTTTAGAAAGTGATTAAGATCTATTATTTCCTCCACTAGTTCTCTTTAAAGGTCTATTTTTCCATGACTTTAGTCTGGATCATATCTGAAGTCGGTTGACTTGGTTTTTTTGGTGCTTGGTTGTGAGTTGGTGTTTGCTGTTAGAAGTAATTCATATTCAAAAGTTGTTGCTAGAATCAAAAGCTTTTAAGCCTGTTAGTCCGAAGCATAAGTTTCTGAGACTATTAGTTACAAGTATTTCTAGAAGTTGTGTTGTTCAGAAGTTGCATGCTTTAGAACCTTGCTCAGCGTAGCTGAGAAATTGCATGTTCATAACCTTGTTTTGAGTTTTATTAGCATAATTAGTTTAGCTTATGTGGAATAGTTTGGTTAAGTATCATTTTATTTTTTGTGTATTTAAACAAGTTTATTACAGTGAAATCATAACTGAATTTTTCACCATTAAAGAGTTTGTTACGTTTTTCTCTCTTATCACTCTTCTTCCATCTTCATCTTCATCTTCAAACTTGTGCTCTAAAAATTGGTATCTAGAGCTCAGTTTGATTCACACAAAAACACAAGTATACGTGAAGCGTGTGTGATTGACTTTGTTTTTTAAATTCGCGTTGAATTCATGATCGAAATCGTAATAGGACTACATTTCTTGATTTTGCGGGATTAGGAAACACAAGTGTTTGGTGAGATCTGAGTGAGTTTCAGTGCACAAGAACAAAGATGAACAGCAGAAATAACTTGAATACAAAACTTCTAGTGTTTGATAGAAATAATTAGAATCAGTGGATTATTCAGATGCATGTGTTATTCGGTGCTCAAGACGTTCTTGATCTCGTCATCAACGGTTACATTCTGATTGTAGCAGATGTGACAGGGGAATAGAGAAACACGCAAATAGATACTAGGAAGAAAGATCAAACAATGTTGTTCTACATCCATCCGTGTGTGGATGCGAATGTGTTTAAGAAAATTATTGATCCAACGACAGTGAAGGTTATGTGGGACATACTAGAAAGGTTCTACGACAGTGATGTATCAATAAAGAAGATGAAGCTTCAGCCCCTATGTAAGCAGTATGAGAATCTCAACATGAAGAACAATGAGAAGGTACATTATTACATCTCTAGAATGATTTTGATCACAAATGAGATGAAGACTTATGGAGAAATGCTCTCTGAACAAGTTATTGTTGAAAATGTATTAAGATCCATCAGTCCTCAATTTAATTACATTGTTGTGGCAATTGAACATTCTAAAGATCTAGGAACCATGAGAACTGAAGAGCTGCAAAGTAGTCTAGAGGCACAGGAGTTGTGTCTGTCTGAGAGAACCTCTTAAAGAGAGGTAAAACAGGCTTTAAAGGCGTCTTATGGTAAGAAGAGTCATAAGAAGTTGTGGTCAGAGGCCAAGAAGAGACATGGTTCTTCTAAGAAGTTAGAAGTCTCCAACTCTGATGAGAAGAAACATTATAAGGGGAAGGAGAAGCTTAACAAGAGAAAGGTCCAGTGTTACAATTGTAATAGGTATGGCCATTTTTCTAAAGGATGTTAGTCAAACAAGGAAAGGAATTCAGAAGAAGAAAACATAGCAAGAGGAGATTCTGATGATGAACTTGTGTTATTGATGGCTTTTGAATTTGATGGTGGATATTTGGAAGACTAGTGGTATATGGACAATGGTTTCTCAAATCACTTAACTGGAAATAATATGGCTGATTGATTTCGAATCTAGAAAAAGGACAAAGATCAGGTGTGCTGATAATAAGTACCTTAATGCTGAAGGTATGAGAAATGCCAAATTCAAAGTGGAGAATGGTAGAACTATTCTAATCAAGAATGTTTAGTATGTTTCTGGCATGAACAACAATCTGATGAGTGTAGGTCATCTCATTGAGAAAAGTTTCTCAGTTATCATAAAGAACAATTTCTTGAAGTTGTATGATTCTGATTATAAGTTGATTATGCAATATGAGCCGGGAAGAAACAGAACATTCAAGGTGAATCTGGAAACAACTGAAACTACATTCCTTAGTGAAGAAGGTGGTGATGGTGAAAGTGAGATGTGGCACAAGAGATTGGGGCATCTGAACTTCAGAAGCTTAAGGCATTTGAGTTCTAAGAAGTTGGTATATGGCATTCCTAAGATTGTGAAGCCTGAGAAGTCATGTGAGGTATGCATGAAAGGCAAGCAACCCAGATTGCCATTTGCATCAGAAATAGCGTCAAGAGCATAACATGCTTTGGGAGTTGTGCATTCTGATGCATGTGGACCATTTAAAATACCTTCACTTTGAGGAAACAAGTACTTTGTGTCTTTTGTGGATGAGTTCAAAAGGATAACATGGGTAAGACTCATCAAGTTTAAGCATGACATGTTTACTGAGTTTCAGAAGTTCAAGGTGAAGACTGAAAAACAGAGTGGTCAGAAGTTGAAAGTTCTCAAACTGACAATGGAGGTGATTACAACTCTACATAGTTCAAGAAGTTTTGTGAGGAGAATGGAATTAAGCATGAGGTTAATACTCCATACACTCATCAACATAATGGTCTTGCTGGAAGAAGAAATATAAATTTTCTTGATATGACAAGGAGCATGTTGAAAGAGAAGAATTTGCCTCACACCTTGTGGGGAGGAGTTGTTTCCACTTCAGCAAATGTGCTCAACAGGTGTCCAACAAAGAAGCCGAAGGAAAATATTCCTTTTGAGAGGTGGAATGAGATAAGAAAAGTGTGAGTAATTTCAGAGTATTTGGTCCAGTTTGTTACAAACATGTTCCAAGTGCCACTATACAGAAAGTGGATGATAGAAGCAAAGTAATGTTATTGATTTGGTACAACAGCGCAAGTGCTTATAAGCTTTACTTTCCAGCCACTAACAAAGTTGAAGTAAGCAGATACGCCATTATGAAGGAAGAAGAAGCATGGGATTTGAGAAAGTCTCAATCCATCTCTGGTACAATGTTAATACCTGAGCTAACTTCTGAAGGAGAATCTGCCTCTGAAGGAGATTCTACCTCTAAAGATGAGTCTGAGTCGTGAGACGATTCTGAAGCTAAAGTCGAGTATGATTCTGAAGGTGAATATGATTTTGATCCGGATTATGATGATGACCCATACTTTGGTGGTAATCCAACTTTTAACGATGGTGATGCTTTTAAAGGTGGAAATTATGAAGGTGGTCCAACTTTTGAAGGTAGTCCAACATCTGATACATACTCTGGTGGTAATCCAACTTCTAACGATGGTCATGCTTCTGAAGGTGGAAATTCTGAAGGTGGTCCAACTTATGAAGTAGTCTAGCATCTGATACTATTCCAGTATCTGAAGAAGATTCAAAACAAGTTCGAAGGCCACAGAGAATCAGATAAATAACGAGAAGATTTGTAGAATTTGACATGTTACAAGATACAGAGATAGACTCTGAAGGAGAAGTCATTCAGTGTGCCATATTAGTAGACTCTGA